CTCACTGGCAGGCAGCCCGATGAGGTTGGCAATGTGCTCAATGAAGCGAGGAATGTAACCAAAGACCTCCGGAGGCCCATAGCAGAAGAGAGTCTTGAGTCCTGTAGCACCAACAGTCGCCCACGCATCACCAACAGACAAATCAAGCTGAACCCAAGTGCCATCGACAATGACAAACCAGGTCACGCTGGTATGGTGACGAAAGTCCGGAGCCAACCCTTGGAAGTAGTCGAAGGCAAAGGTAACAGGACACCAACGAGCAGGAGGGCAAAAATAGGTTTGTGGCAGCACCATTCGCGGATACTCCAGAATCCAATCCAGCTCATCAGAGGCAAGCCACCCAGGTTGGTCTCTCAGTTTCAACAATCTGCGAATGACATGGTAATCCGGCACTGCTGGATGAGGCCGGACAGGGAAGGTAGCCGCAGTAGTGGGAACCTGGTGCACATCCACAAAGTGAACAAAGAGCCTGATGGTGGTCACAGAATCGTGCACAACACTACTTCGTGCAAGTTGGGCAAAAAAGGCTCGCCGCAACTTAAGAGGCAGCATCCACGCATCAGTGGGCACTTCAGCAGCAACTCAGTCCTCGATTGCCGCGATGAGAACCTCTTCAATCAGCCCTCGTTTCTCAATGGAGACTTGTTCAAATCCATCATTGGGTGGAGGAAGGTCGTCCTGGAGTGAAGCAGCACGAATCCACCTGTCAAGCAATAACCACCCACACATGTGTGCATATGGGGGTAGGACAACCGCAGAACTGGCAAGCCGATTGGGATGAAAGTCCAAGAGGCGAGCAACAGCTGCAAGGACGCCGGGATGGAATGGCCCTGGAAAGCCAAGAATCACAACCGTGACAAGATGGGAAGCTCGGTTCACTTCAACTGCCGCCCAATGTGAGCCATAGAGGATTGGGATAATGGTCAATTTGTTGTTCGGCACCGCAAACTCATCTTGTGCTGGAAAAACGAAATCAGCGACATCAGGGTCCCAAGTCACAGTGGGAGCAAAGAAGGCAAATCCAGGGGCAGTCCACTGGACATGTTGCGTCCAAAAGTTCATTTCATCTTCAGCCAACCAGCCCGAAGTATTGACCGCAAATTCACATCTTGTCTCAAAGGACGCACCAGGAGCGAGGACTTGTGGGCCCGCAGAATGGTGGCCAGCAGCACGGACCGGGCCTTGGAACGCAAGACACACAAAATCGCCATGACCGATGTTGGAATCCAAAGTCCAAGCCTGACCGTTGCATGTAGAGATCTTGAAGGTGTTGTCTTTCAAAATCAAGAGGTCAGAGTGAACGGGCTGCTGATCAATGGCTGCAACCCCAAGACCTCCATTGGAGCGTTTGAAGGCAAACCAGGGATTGGTGCAGCAATCTTCACATGGCGGCAAGAAGAAAGCACAAGCACTTGCATCGAACTGTGTGGCTGGAGTGAGCCGAAGGCGCTTAAGACTGCGGTGAGAATCCTCGGGGATGGTTGATTCACGATTGATGCATGGCACGACAGCTGAGAAGCTGCTGGGCGGATCCGCAAGAGCAATGATAGCTGGTTGACCACCAGCAATGCGAAGGCATTTCTCAGTCACATCAAGGGCGGAGCGAAAAGCACTTGCGCAAACGATGTCATCAAACTGGGCAGGACAAGGGTCAACTGCACGACCAGGTTGCGAAAGCGGCACCCCAAGAGACAGGGTGGGCGAGATACTAATGACAACGGCTGACTGGGGCAGCAGGGACTCTTGGCAGCAAGTATGTAGGGTAAGGCACACATCCAAGAAGGGCATGCCATGGACACAGATGTGACACTGCCTGACAATTTGCGCACATTCACGCAAGCTGAACGACTGCAGGTTCCGAAAGTCTTCATGATGGGCAAAAACTTGGCAAGAGACATCGAAAGTCCACTGGAAGATCGATCCAAGCCGGGACACTTTCCAAGCACAAGGCAAGAAGATAGTCCGCACATCTCCAGACCTGCGATGACAGAGCTCAACTCGGACACAGTCAACCTCCAAAGGTTGCAAGGCCGCAACCACATGGAAGTCACGGATGAACTGTTTCATAGAGCAAAGAATCATAAAGCCCCCATCACAGACAATGAAAGCCGCGAAACTCGTGAGCCTCTCATCCCAACATTTGCGAACCAGCAAATTCACATCAAGGTCCCAAGCAAGCAAGGTGTGAAATCCAATGGCTGACGTGAGGAGAGCATGAGGAACGGCAATGGCGTTCCCAACTTGTCGGAAAGCAACACCCGCTTTGAGTGGAAGCACGACATTGTCAACAGCACCAAGTAGGGCAACATGCGTGAATGGATCAACAAAGGCAAATGAAGGCCCCGTGGAAACCAAATTGGCAAAAATGCCCTGGCGCTCAAGGTGTGACAAGGGAAGCTCATGCTGCTGGCCATAGGACGCACACAATGTAGGCAGCGCCACAAATGGATCTTGCACTCTTGCATTGAGGACATCGCGACAGGATGCATTCTTCGGAAGCTTCCTCTGCTTGGCAGGAGGCAAAAGCTTAGGGTCACCATAGACTTTTTCCTCAGACAGCGAAAGGCACAACTGTTCTTGCAACACTCTGGGAAGATCGAACTTATAATGCTGGGCTGACCATGGCACAATTCGCTCAATTCTCAGTGGCTGAAAGGACCGTGCAGCTCGTCGAAAAACATCCTTTCGCATCCATATTCCGAGCCACCGAGTTCTGTGCACATGTGCGAGCATATGATAAGGCACAACATCTTGCCAAGTACAGTCAAATCCGGCATTCTCAAACAACTGTTGAAGGATGACAAAGTGGCGATGATTGACCAATTCGTCTACACATTCGATCGCAATCATCAACGGTTGGCCTGCGACACACATTCTGATGAGGTCGACAAATGCCCATCCTTGGGCATCATCAATGCCTGCACTCTTTCCACTGCGCGACCAAGTGGGACATGGCGGACTAGCCGTTTAGCAGAGGTTGGCAACAGGTGTGCATACATGAAAAATCGAATGGTCAAAAATGTGCGTGTGGATAGTTGTATGCATAGCCGGATCCACCGAAGTGCAAGGGGCCAAGGGCCCTTGCAGGCAAGGCTTTCTGTATTTCTTGTTCCAAACTAGTGCTACCTCATCATCGTGATCCACATGGATTTGTCGTCCCACTCGAAAGGAGGGGACAACGCTTGGGAGCCACGAAAGCCCCTGTGTCCAACCCTCAAATGCGCCTGCGAAAAAATGAATAGTATCCCATGCTTCTGCCGCATCGAAGATGGGCATCTTCATCACAGTGGCATCAGGCGTTGTCCGCCACACACCCTCAGAGCATAGCTCCAGTTTCCCGCAGCAAAGGATGGCATCACCGCAGCAGAAGGGAAGAGCTCTCTCAGAAACTTGCGGAATCTCAATGCACATAGGAGCCAGTTCATCGAAGACGAACCCAGTCCCTTTGACAAAGTGGGCACGATCAATCTCAATGCAGTGCAGCTGAACATTGCGCAAATATCCAGCTACAACACCAAGATCATCCCAAAACACACCAGGTCCACCGTCTAGGCCCTTGAAGATTCCCTTAGTCCTCGCAGAACAGGGAGCCGACAAGAGGTCATCAAGCACACCAGTACACGAATCCATGGCACGTCACAAGAGGCAATCACCGTTCCAAAAAGCCTTGCAGTCGAGGATGGCAGAATGGAAGGAAACTGCCTCTATAGACGAGCACCCGCCGCTCGCGCAACGCAGCACCCCCCGGGACTCCACAGTCCGTAAGCTGAGCGGCCTTGAGCCGGGACAGCTAGTAGCGTCCTTGTTCCTAGTAGCGATGCTAGGAGCCCCTAGTAGCGTCCTTGTTCCTAGTAGCGATGCCAGGAGCC